CCCTCAGGAAAAAGAAAGGTCTTAGTCTACATCAGAGAATTAAAAATGGAGAGAAACCCTTTGAGTGTACTGCATGTAGGAAAACCTTCAGCAAGAAGTCACACCTCATTGTACATTGGAGAACTCATACGGGAGAGAAACCTTTTGGATGTACTGAATGTGGAAAAGCCTTTAGTCAAAAATCTCAGCTCATTATACACCTACGAACTCATACAGGAGAGAGACCCTTTGAGTGTCCAGAATGTGGAAAAGCCTTCAGAGAAAAGTCAACTGTCATCATACATTATAGGACTCATACAGGAGAGAAACCCTATGAATGTAATGAATGTGGAAAAGCCTTCACTCAAAAGTCAAATCTCATTGTCCACCAGAAAACCCACACAGGAGAGAAAACTTATGAATGCACCAAATGTGGGGAATCTTTCATACAGAAGCTTGATCTAATTATACACCATAGTACTCATACAGGAAAGAAACCCCATGAATGTAATGAATGTAAGAAAACTTTCAGTGATAAGTCAACTCTTATTATACATCAAAGAACTCATACGGGAGAGAAACCTCATAAATGTACTGAATGTGGGAAGTCTTTCAATGAGAAGTCAACTCTCATTGTGCATCAGAGAACTCATACAGGAGAGAAACCTTATGAATGTGATGTGTGTGGAAAAACCTTCACCCAGAAGTCAAACCTTGGCGTACATCAGAGAACTCATTCTGGAGAGAAACCCTTTGAATGTAATGAATGTGAGAAAGCATTCTCCCAGAAATCTTATCTCATGCTACACCAGAGAGGTCATACAGGAGAGAAGCCCTATGAATGTAATGAATGTGAAAAAGCATTTTCCCAGAAATCATATCTCATTATACATCAAAGAACTCATACAGAAGAAAAACCCTATAAGTGTAATGAATGTGGCAAAGCCTTCAGAGAAAAATCAAAGCTTATTATACATCAGAGAATTCACACAGGAGAGAAACCCTATGAATGTCCTGTATGTTGGAAAGCTTTTAGCCAGAAATCACAGCTCATAATACATCAGCGAACACACACAGGAGAGAAACCCTATGCATGCACTGAGTGTGGCAAAGCCTTTAGAGAAAAATCAACATTCACTGTACACCAAAGAACTCATACTGGAGAGAAACCCTATAAGTGTACAGAATGTGGGAAAGCCTTTACCCAAAAATCAAACCTTATTGTACATCAGAGAACACATACAGGAAAGAAAGTCCACGGGAAAGGCCACACCCAGAAGTCAAAGCTCATTATACATTAGAAAATAAATCAGTAGTGTCTGTTATGTTCCCTGAAGGAACATTTCATTTTGTTAGCTATGTTTTTTAAGTATGTTCTGACTTATGGTTTAAATATAGGGATAGAGTCAGCCTTTTTTTTTTTTTCCATCTCAATCTTTACCCAAAAACTACAGGGAAGCAAAGAAATAGAAGTGTAATCTCTGTATCTGACAAAATTAGGAGATAGCTGAAACCCCGATGAGAGGGTTGCCACAGGCATATGTGGGAGATCTCCAAGGACAGAGAATGCTCAAGGCTGCAGATGTGAGGCAGCACAGGTAAGGACGCTTAGTAGAGGTTCATATACAAACACAACAGCAGTAACCCAGAGCATGGGTAGGTGGGAGGTAGGATGTTTCCTAGATCCATTTGGCATCTGAGGAGAGATAGGCTGGGGCCTTGAGAAGGAATTGCTCAGACTAATCATATTTAGTAGAAACTAGTCTGTACTAATCAGATGAGCAATTGGTGGGGGTTGGGGCAAGAGAAGGCAGTGTTTCTTGTGACAAACCCTACAGCTTCCCCTATTTACTGACTCAGAAAATCCAAGTCTGAAAGAACTACCAAATGGAAAAAATCCCAGTTGCAAGAGAACCTCTGATCTGCCTTAAATGTGGCCCTGGTTTCTTTTTCCACATGAACCTCCAGCAAACACCATGTCCAAGAAAAACTCTTATTTAAAGAGGAATGATTCCAAAGTAACCAAAACCACAAATGTGCATGGCTTTTCCAGCAATTCCACTTCTAGGAATGTATATACTCCTGCATATACAAAATGATGAACGCACAGAGGAATTCACTGCTGCACTGTTGTGAAAACAAAAGGTTGGAAGCTGTAGATATGACAACACCAGGGGTCTGGTTCCTGAAATCCTGGTATGTTGACTCAGCAAACTCCTAGGTAGAAAAAAATGAATAAAATATATAAAAATAACTTTTGAAGACGCCATTTAAGAAATGATGTGGGATGCTCTCCAACATACATTATTAGGTGGAAAAACCAAGGTGCAGAATAGTGAGTATAATGTGCTACCATTTATATATAAAAAGGAGAACATATGCTAAGTATTTAGTGTGTATGGATAAACTGTCTCTGGAAAGATAACACAAGAAGCTGGTAACCATGATTACCTCGGGGAAAGAGAAGGGGAAGTGGGTAGCTGGGGGGATGGAATTGTTAGGGAGACAACAGTATATCCTTTCATAACTTTTGAAAATTGTACTGTGTGGAAGCACTATCTTTTCACTCAATAAATAAAACTTTTAAAAAGCCTGGTTTGTTCTATTACTATTATAATGAAGTCAGATTCTAGATACAAGATTTCAACATTTAATAGAGATATGCTCATTGTGGAGTTTTAGTTTTCTAGAGTGAAAAAATTGAATAATCAGAACAATAGATGTCCACTTGGGGGTGCAAATAATGTGATTCTCAGATCAGCTGGGACCACATTCTGTAAACCTAAAATAATTGAGACTGGTACACATTTCTTATTTAGTATATGTAGTGACATCTGTGAGAGTATCCTGTACCAAAGCCTGTCAATGGCTTTCCACATCTTAACATTGAATTACCTTGTGTGTGTGTGTGCGCGCGCACGCGTACACACACACACTCACACACACACACACACACACACACACACACACACACACACACGCTTTTAACAAGAGATATAAAACATAAATCTACAGAGAAGTTGAGTGCTTGCCCCTCAGGTCACACTACTGCCAGTGGCTGCATTTTCCAAGGTAAGGGACAGATTGAGAGCCGTGGTCTGAATGGGCATGGCCAAAGACTGTGTAATAGCACATCTGCTCCAGAATAAGAAGTCCCACTTTGTGCATGACAGTCTTTGTGGCCCTGACGCTTCTGAGGTGGAATTGGGCAACCCAAGCTATCTAAAACCTGGGCCTGGTCAGTGTTCCTGTAAGAAAATAAGCTGTGAGTTTACTTTTTTATGAGTGATGTTAAATCAGACATGTCATATAGGGTGAGGCAAAAGTAGGTTTACAGTTTGTATGGAAAATACAATAATTAATAATACAAGAATAAAGTTGTGTACTCACAACTGTAAACCTACTTTTGCCCCACATTATTTAGTGCCTTTCCATGGAGAAGAAAGTTTGGGGGGAAATGTGGGGTTAACTTCCTTACTCCTTGTGCAGTCTGCTGAGAGAATGCCTAAGGACACTAGAAATGAAACATTTCATTTTCCTGCTGATAAAGAATATTCCTGGGGTTTCAGGGCCATCAAAGATCATTCTAAAGTGGGGTGGGGCAAGTCAGATCTTGCCATTTAAGGTTAATCTTGGACTCCTGCTTTCTGGGACACAGATAAGACAAACAGCCCAGTTTAAAAACGGGCAAAATATTTTAAAAGATACATCGATCAAGATGATATACAGATGGCAAATAAGCACAAGATACTCAACAGCATTAGCTCTTAGGAAAGTATAAATTGAAACCACAGTGGGATACCACTTCACTCTTACTGAAATGGCTAAAATTACAAGGGCAAAGAAATGAAGCAAATGGACACGTACATACTGCTGGTGGGAATGTAAAAGGGCACACCACTTTGGAAAACCGTTTGGTAGTTTCTTACATATTTAAATATATACTCACCATATGATCAAACCATTCCTAGGTATTACACAGGAGAAATGCAACTACGTCCACACAAAGACTTGTATATAAATGTTCATATCAGTTTTATTTGTAACATCCAAAAACTAGGAACAATATAGATTTTTATCAACACATTAATGGATAAACAAATCTGGTATATCTATGCAATGAAATACCACCTATCAATAAAAAGGAATACAGGTACATGTAACATCACAAATGAATCACAAAATAATTATGCTGAATAAAAGAAGGAAAAAAATACCCACCAAGAATGCCTATGGTATAATTCCATTTATATAAAATTGTAGAAAATTCAAACTAATCCATAACAACACAAAACAGATCAGTGGTTGCCTATGGATGGGGGAAGGGTGTGGGGAGGGAGGTTGGATGACAAAGGGGCATAAGGAAACTTATGGGGGGGGTGATAGCTCATTTCTTTACATTTTAATTTTTTTCCTATGGATACATTTTTTAAATGTTCATTATTTTTGATGTAGTGTTTTTCCCCTTTTATTGAATTTAATGGGATAACACTGGTTAACAAAGTTTTATAGGTTTCAAGGGTACAATTCTACAATACATCATCTGTACACTTATTGTGTTCACCACCCCAAATCAAGTCCATCACTATTTATCCTCCCTATACCCTCCTCCACCTCCCTGCCCTATTTGATGTATGAGATATGATTTCTGCCCACCTCTCCCCCACCCTCAGGGAAATCACCACACTGTTGTCCTGGTCCATGGGGTTTTTTCTTTTTTCTTATTTTCTCAATCCCTCCACCTACCCCACCCTGACAGCTGTCAGCCTGCTTTCTATCTATGGCTCTGTTCCAATAAAACTTTATTGTACTGAAATTTGAATTTCATGTAATTTTTTACATGTCATGAAATATTACTCTTCATTTATCAACCATTTAAAAATGTAAAAACTACCCAGCCCTCATGGATCAGTGGTTGAGCATCGAACTATGAACCTGGAGGTCATGGTTCAATTCCAGGTCAGGGCACATGCCTGGGCTGTGGTCTTGATCTCCAGTTGTGGACGTGCAAGAGGCAGCCAATCAGTTCTTCTCTCTCATCATTGATGTTTCTATTTCTCTCTCTCTCTCTCCCTTCATCTCTGAAATCAATAAAAATATATATTTTTAAAAAGAATGATATGAAACAAATATTGAGTAATATTAAATGGATATAGAAGGTGACAAAGACATATTACATATACATAATTGATGTCCTGAAGAGGAAAATAGATCAGAAAAAAAGTTCAGCAAAATAAAACTTCCCTGAAATAAAAGGCTTCAATCATGATTGGTACAGTTTACTGTAACCAAGGTAAAATCAAATTAACAAAAATAAAGACCAAAGCATATGTTTTTAAAGATCCCTAATTTCAAGCATAAAGAAAGAATGTGGCAGAAAGGTACAAGGAAAAAAAGAGCAGTTTAGTCTAAGAATTCTCAGTAGCATCACTAAATTTTAGAAGAGAAACATTTACCAAGTTCTCAGGAAAAGAAAGTATAACATTAACAATCAGGGTTCAATTAAGTGGATTCACTATGAGTATTATGGAATAAGGAATTTTTACATGAATTGAGCCATACACAAATGTGGGAGTAGCTGAGGAAGTTAAGGTATGGACGGGGGAGTTGGGAGAAACACTGGCATGAATAGATAAGTCAGAGTTTGCAGGAAACTCTTAGAAGCCAGGCACATCCAGCTGCTGATGTGAGATTATTAATGGGGAGCTAATGGAGAAGTCTAAGAAAAGCCTTTGCCTTTGTGGGTCTTTAGCCAAGCATCTGGTGGTAGGCCTGGGCCACTGTTGGTCAGCAGACTGGGAGATGCAAAGAAGGGCTGAATAGAGTGGAAGAGAGTGAGGAAGAATTAAAACCTTCTAGGTACCCCGTATCTGTAGCCCTGAATCTAATCTTAAACTTTTAGAGTAATGATGTTTGCTCCTTCACTGTGACCTCTTAAATCTCTTGCAATTTCTACTTTTGGACAACTCTAACCTGGAGTCCAACAGGATTCTAGAAAACACATTTTCAATAGAGCAATACCTAATATTTTTTCTATCAGAAAAGTTTGATGGTGAAGTAACTACCTGAGCTCAGAAATACCTTCAACTTTGCTGTTGTTTTCTTTAGTTAAGTTCACTTAAATAATGTTCACCAAAGTCTACACTGATCTCCTTGTCACAAAATCCAAGAACCAGTTTTCCATCCTCATATAAATGAACCTCTGGCTGCTCCTTCCCACTATCCTCTATAAATAAATTCTTCTCAAATGTTAGTAGCACAAGTCTTGGTACTAGGCCTGCTTTTCCTGTTATTCCAAACATTTTCTTTAGGTGGTTGGATGAGGTTAAGATACCACAAACAAAGGTCTCAAATCCTGCCCAAGTACAGAGAGTTGTAGGGGGACCTAGGCAGCCTCAGGAAGTGGGATGTATCTAATATTCATCAAGAACTTCTTTCCATACATAGTTCTAAGTACTTTATACAGATAAATGTATTAATTTATTATATGGGTTGAATTATGTCCCCCCACAAAAGATATGTCAAAATCCTAACCCCCAGTACATCAGAATATGACCTTATTAGGAAAGGAAATCTTTGCAGAGTAATCAAATTAAAATATCGCCATTAGGGTGGGCCTAATCTAATGTGACTGGTATCCTTATAAAAAGGGGGAAGTCGAACACAGACAGACACAGAGAGGGAACACGATGTGAAGACACATAGGGAGAAAATGACCATGTGACAGAAGTAATGCATCTACAAGCCAAGAAATGCCTGAGGCTACTGAAAACTTGAAGAGATGCAGCTAACAGTTCCTGACACCTTGATTTCAGACTTCTGGCCTCCCAAACTGTGAGACAATAAATTTCTGTTTTTTTAAGCCACCTAGTTTGTGGTACTCTGTCAAGAGACAAAGCAATCAACAGAGTCAGACTCAGGTGACACAGTTGTTGGAATTATCAAACAGGAAATTAAAATAACGATGATTTAATATGTTAAAGAAAATAGTGGAAAATGTGAACAACACATGAACAGATGGGAAATTTCAGCAGATAACATAACTGAGATGAAGAATGCCTTCAATGAGCTCACCCAGTAGACTTAACAGAGCCAGGACAGGGGTTAGAATCAGTGAACTTGATGATAGGTTAATAGAAATTATCCCAACTAAAACACAAAGAGAAATAAAGATTACAAGGGGGCATAGATGTAGGGGTGCAAGAAATTAGTAGTGTTTTTCAAGCTAACATAGTCTATTTTCTGGTCAAAAATAATTTTATTTACATTCCATACCATGCAACAATATGTTCACCCATTCCAAGACCTCCAAATGTCTCATCCCAAATTGTGGCACCATGTTCAAATCCAGGACCTCAAGTCTTCTGTATCAGGTTCAGAAGTGGCTGAGGCTCTCTGAGTGCAGCTTCTTAATCTAGAGACCTGTGAGCTAAATAACTAGTTATATGAACGACCCCCCCAACACACACACACACACACACACACACACACACACACACACACACACTATAATGGTGACATAAGAACAGAATTAACTGCAATACACACTCCAATTCAAAAAGGAGAGAAAGAAGAGGCACATATCTGTCACTGTTCCATAACAATTCTTGAAATCCCACAGAACAAATGTTTTCAAGTCTTCCTGCTTCAGGGGTAGATTTTTTTTATTAGGTCACAGTTCATCTGGGAATGGCTCCCCAGTCCATTTTAATATATTGTTCTTGGGTCTTCTCTCTGAGACCTCCTTCTTTTCCCATTAGAAATGGCCCATGTTTGCAGCCGAGTAACTTTCTCAGCTTCATTTCTATTCATAGAAGCTAGAGAGGAGAGTCCAGGTACCACTTTTCATTCTGGATTGTTTCAGTCTCTTTAAGTCCAGCTTGGAGGCAGTTTCACTAGTAAAACTCTATTAAAAACTTTAAATGTTTCCTATGAATCTGGTTTGTATTTCTCTACTTTGAGCAATGTGTCAGGCTACTGGGGACGATGTCATGAAGTCTACAGAAGCCATTTAGCTTAGCTTAGAGGGTCTCCCAAATACCAACTTAAATGTTTCATGCATTTTTACAAAGGGTCTTACATCTGCACTCATGACTTGATCTCTACCCTGGGGCCATTTTCACTTTGAAAGTATTTTGGAGACTGGAGATGTGAAAATTATTTTCTAACCCAGCAAGTAGAGGGTTTTTTTTTTTCTTCTGAATTCTGCTTGTAAATGGAATAGTCATTCTCTTAGTTCATATCTCCTTTTTTACCTTATTATATGAGCTCATAGAAATAAACGAACTTCCAGCATTCTGTTGGAAATCTATTTAGCTAGATCCACAAGTTCATTTGATACATTCTCTATTTTCCCACAGAGCATGGTGACTGTTTTGCTTTTTCTTTACTAAATAACACAGGACGCCATCTTTTCCAGGCTTTCTTAACAGTTTTCTTCCAGGTCCAAAGTCAATGCCACATGTCTTGTGTTTTGGTACAATACCCCCCCCCCCTCACCCCCCGGCGATCATATACTTTTAAGTATTATTAGCATTTGCTGTGCAACAAAGTACCCTAAAACTTAGCAGTTTAAGACAATAATTATTTTATTTATCTCACAGTTCTCCATGTTCTCTGGGATAACTGGTATGGCTCTTCTTATATGGGCTGGATTGGTTGGGGCTGGAGACCAAGGAAGGCCACACTCCCATGTCCGGTAGTTGACCTGAAGGGCCTCAGCTAGGCTGGCTCATCTTTGCTCCATCTGGTTTCTCATCCCCCAGTAGAGTAATCTGAGCTTCTTCATATGAAGGGCTTAGAATTTTGAAGAGTAGCAAGAGAGTAAGCCTCAAGGTAAGCTTTTTTCACACTTCTTCAGCCATTTCTTGAATCTCTTCGCTAATGTACAGTGGCCAAAACAAATCACATGGCCAAGTTAAGAGTCAAGGAGTAGAGAGGGAGCTCTACTTCTTAATAAGAGAAAAAACAGAGTAACATTGCAAAGGAGCAGGCAAAAAATGACAGGAGAGACCTTTGGCATTTTTGCATTGTTCCACAATTAAAAAGGATAAAAACACAATGTCATGGGAACCAGTATGAATGATAGGATTACATTTGTGTGTTCATGTAAAATTATATCTTCAGATATGTGTATATATAAAATCACAATGACCATAAAACTGTGAATTCATGTGAGAGAAAAATTCAATAGAAGACATATTTAATAGATGCAATTATATTAAATTTAAAAAATGAACTTCAATGATTCCTCCTGCTGTGCATTGTGTTCTGCCACAAACAACCTACAGACCTGAGAGTAGGTCTACACATCAAATATGTTATTTTGTTGTCCTACTTTTCATTTTGTTGTCACTTTAAATTGTTTAATATAACAGTAAACATGACTAACATTTACATAATTTTACACACTTCATATGTAAAGAATTTGGTAACAATTTGCCTTATAATACTTTCTTTACAATAGGAAGGCTTTCCTCCTAATATATTAAACTGACATCATTTTTCCTAGTATGAATTCTATTATACAGGGTGTCCCCAAAATGTATACACACTCATTTCTATAGATTCATTTAAATTTTGGAGATGAACTGTATGTTAATAAACACTGATTATATCTCAAAGTGTGTATACATTTTTGGGACACCCTGTATTTTGTGAGGCTGTGCAAATATGAAAATTCCCCTTCATTCAATGCATTCTAAGAGGATATCGTCTAAATAATTTTTTTTGCCTCAAGTGAGAGAGCCTGACGAATACTTTTTACTATGCCATATATTCATATAGGGTCTGTCTTGGATGAATTTTATAATATACCCTTATACCTGACTTCTGTGATAAGGCTTTCTCATTTTTAAGAGACAGGGTTACTTTCATGTATGAATATTGCGATGCATACTCAGAACTGATTTCTGAGTAAAGCCCTTTCCACAGTCACTGCATTTATAGGGCTTTTCTCCAGTATGAATTGTCTGGTGTTTATTGAAATTTGACCTGTCAGTGAAGGCTTTCCCACATTCTGCACATATATATGGTTTTTCTCCTGTGTGAATTCGTTGATGTACTTTGAGATGTGGTTTCTTAGAGAAGGATTTCTCACAGTCAGGACATTTATAAGGCTTCTCTGTAGTATGAATTCTCTGATGTGTAATTAATTCGGACTTCTGGAAAAAAGCCCTCCCACAATGAGCACAAACATAGGGTTTTTCTCCAGTATGAATTGTCTGGTGCTTATTGAAATTTGACCTGTCCGTGAAGGCTTTACCACATTCAGCACATATATAAGACTTCTCTCCAGTATGAGATTTCTGGTGAGTATTGAGATTTGACCTGTTGGTAAAGGCCTTCCCACACTCAGTGCATATATAGGGTTTCTCTCCTGTATGAATTCGTGTATGCATCTGGAGTTGTGACTTAGAAGGGAAAGATTTCTCACAGTCACTGCATTCATAAGGCTTCTCTCCAGTATGAATTCTTTGATGTGCAATCAAGTGTGCCTTCTGGATGAAGGCCTGCCCACATGCAGTACAAATATAGGATCTCTCTCCTGTATGAATTCTCTGATGCATCCTGAGTGTTGATTTTTGGGTAAAGGCTTTCCCACACTCACTGCATTTGTGGTGTCTCTCTCCAGTATGAATTTTCTGATGTACACTGAGAGCTGAGTTCAGGGAGAAGCCTTTCCCACATTCACTGCATTCATAGAGTTTCTCTCCAGTATGGGTTGTCTGGTGCCTAAGTAGAGATGACACCTGGAAAAATGATTTTCCACATTCACTGCATGTATAGGGTTTTTCTCTAGTATGAGTTTTCTCATGCATAATTAATTCTGAATTCTGGATGAAAGCCTTCCCACATTCAGTACATACATACAGTTTTTCATCTCTATGAACTCTCAAATATATGCTGAGTAGTGGCTTTTGTGTAAAAACATTTGCACATTTGCTAAGTTCATGAGGTTTTTCCATGGTATGGATTCTCTGAGATGCAAAGAGGTGTGACTTCTGGGTGAATATCTTCCTAAATTCAGTACACATATTTCCTTTTTCCCCAACAGGAAACTTCAGATTGTGACTGAGTGCTTGTTTGAGGTTGAGGACTTTTCCACACTGATTACATTCACAAAATTTCACTCCTGTATGCATACTTTCATGGTTAGTAAAAGAACTCTGGGTGAAATTTTGACTGTGTCTATTAATTTTATCAACGTTCTTTGTTGCTTTATTTTTAGAATGAATATGTAAATCTAAATCATGCTTAAAACCCTTTTCAAATGAGTCACATTTATGGGGTCTTTTCTGTGAGGCAATAATATGATTTGGGCTTGGATAAACAAATGTTCTGCTGCCTTTATATTCATAATGCCACTCCGTATTCAATATTTTCTTATTTACAAATGTAGCATGACTCACAGGTTTGCTGTGTTTTTCCTGATATCTTTTCATCTGTTCAGCATCTTGCCACAGTTCTAAAATGGAATACAATGAATCATCTCTTATATCTTCACCCTCCATTTCACTATGAAATGAAGCTTTCCCAGAAATTCTTTTTTGTGAGATCTTAATCCCAAACTTCCCATCTAAAAAGAGAGAAAAAAGTAAAAATCAACACGAATAGATAGCAGAAGATTAAAAGATACATATAAGCTAATCCAAATTGAACACAGGGAAACCAGTGAATCCAATGATGACAATGAAAATAATTACAGGAAATACATATATAGCACTTATTGTGTGTCAAGCTCTTGCACGACACTTATGATGTTCCAGGCATTGTTAAGATATAAACATGAAGTCATTTAATCCTTTCCAAAGTTCTATTTTCTATTATTATTTATCTATTGTAGATAAGGAAAGTAAAGCTCAGAATGGTTTTATACATATAATTTGTTGTAAAACATGGTTATAGCTCAATTTGGGTAGGAGGCTTGAATATCAAGTAGGGTGGACTGAAGATTAAAAAGACAAGGATTTTCAGGAAAAATATTGATGGAGAGCCTAGGCTGGGAGAGGGTGACTCAGAGTCTAAGTCCTCATTAGCTTTAGATTCTAAATCCTCACTGATCTTGTTGCTTCTTGCTATTAGCAAAAATACCAAATTCATGAGATCAAAAAAAAAAAAAAAAACAATTTCACTTGCTGAGGGAGTATATCCTAAAAGTTCTCATCACAAGGACAAGAACATTTTTTATTTTTGATATCTATATGATATAGGTGTTAACTAAATTTATTGTGGTAATCATTTCACAATGTATGTAAGTCAAGTCATTATGCCTCTAGGAAAATTATTGCGGTGATAGCCATCTTGACCTATACAAACAATAAATGGATGTCTATACTCCAACTCTCCATCACGTGTAATTGCTTTCTATTAAACACAACTCTCATCAAGAGCCGGATATACACTCTTTTCAGAGACACATGGAACATTCCCAAAGATAGACCATTTGCTGAAATCATACAGAATGTATTCTCAGAATACAACAGAATGAAATTAGACAAAATAAAGAAAACAAATTCCTTGAAAAAAACCACAACTTATTATGTATGACAAAAGATGAAACAGAAAATTGAAAGAGCCCTATGTATATTAAAGAAATTGAACTAGTTATTAAAACTTTCCCATCTGGCAAACTCCAGGCCCAGAAAGTCTTGCTGGTGAATTCTGTGAAACAGCATAAAAAGAAATAACAATCTTACACAAACTATTTCAGAAAACAGAGAACTTATTCACAACTCATATTATGCGGCCAAGTGTAACCCTAATATCAAAACCCGACAAAGATATTGCAGAAAGAAAGAAAGAAGAAAGAAAGAAAGAAAGAAAGAAAGAAAGAAAGAAAGAAAGAAAGAAAGAAAGAAAGAAAGAAAGAAAACTACAAACTGGTATCACTCATGCAAATATTTTTAAACAAAATATAAAAATAGAATCCAACAATATATAATAAGGGTAATGTATATAATAATCACCAGTATTTGTCCTAGAAATACAAGGTTAATTTAACATTTGAAATCAATCAATAAATTTACCATATTAACAAAATAAAAACAATAACTCATTTGATCACTAAAGCATTTGACAAAATTCAACACTTAACTATGATTTTTGTTAAAAACCTCTTTAACCAGCTAGGATTAGAAAGGAACTTATGTAACCTGATAAAGGGTAGCTTAAAAAAAAACTACAGCTAACATCATACTTAATGATATGATTTTTTTGCTCCTAATATCAGGAACAAGGCAAGCATGCCCACACTCACACTTCTATTCAACATCAAACTGAAGGTCTTAGACAGTGAAATAAGGAAAGGAAAACAGATAAAAAGATTGGACAGAAAGAAGTAAAACTGTCCCTAAAGTGATGAGTATTTACTTACAAGGAACCTAGAAGACAAACAACCCAATAAAATGAGGAAGATATGTAAATAGACACTTCACACAAAAATGTACAAATGGTCAATAGCACATGAAAAGATATTTAACATTATTATTCACCAGAATGCAACTTAAAGTCATAATGAGTTACCATTACATATCTACTACAATAGTAAAAATTAAAGAGACTGATGACAGCAAGTGTTGGCGAGGATGTGGGGCAAGAAGAATTCTCAGGTATTGTTGTTGGAAATGTGAAAAGGCACAGCCACTTTGCAAGACAGTTTAGCAATTTCTTATAAAGTTAAGCATATACCTATTTTATAACCTGGCAACTCCATTCCTAGGTATTTAACCAAGAGAAATAGAAACATATGTTCACACAAAGATACACTAAAATGATCACTACAGCTCATAATAACCAAATAATAACTCCCTGTCATCAACAGGGATATAAACAAATTACCATATATTTATACCATGGAGTAGTAGTCAGCATCTTAAAAGAACAAACTAGTGATATACTCAATAACATGGGTAAAACACAAAATCATTATGCTGAATGCAAAGAGCAGACAGTATAATTCCCGTTGATATAAAAATAAAGACAAATATATTCTATAGTGACAAAATGCACGTCAATAGTTGCCTGGGGTCCCGGATGGTTTGGCTCAGTGGATAGAGCGTCGGCCTGGGGACTGAGAGGTCCTGGGTTCGGTTCCAGTTGGGGGCACATGCCTGGGTTGCGGGCTTGATCCCCAGTAACGGGGCGTGCGGGAGGTAGCCAACCAATGATTCTCTCATCATTGATCTCTCTCTCTCTCTCTCTCTCTCTCTCTCTCTCTCTCTCTCTCTCTCTCTCCCCCTCTCCCTCTCTCTCCCTCTCCCTTTCTCTCAGAAATCAATAAAAATATATTAAAAATTTATTTAAAAAATAGTTGCCTGGGGCTGAAGTGGTGATAAGCATTGACTACAAGGGACATGAAGGAGCATTTCTGTGTGAGGGAATGTTATATATTATGATAGGGGTAGTGGTTATACTAGTGTGTACCTTGTCAAAACTCATCAAGCTATATACTTAAAATGGATACACTTTAGTGTATGTAAATTATACTTTAATAAGTGGAATCTAATGAACAAAATGAACTAACAAGTGAAATAGAGACACATTCATAGATAAAGAGCAGGCTGATAGTTGTTGGGGGGAGGGTTGGGGATGGAGGAATTGAGCAAAAATAAAAAAGAGAGAAAAAGCTCATGGATATGGACAACAGTGTGGTTACTGCTGGGGGTGGGGTGGGAGAGAGGTAGAAGAGCGTACAGAGGGGATAAATGGTGATGGAAGGAGACCTGACTTGGGGTGGTGAACACACAACGTAGCATACAGATGATGTGTTGTGGAATTGTGCACCTGAAATCTGTATGATTTTGTTCACCAGTGTCACCCCAATAAATTCAATGAAAAGAAAAAAAGTAGATTTTAAAAGAAAAAAATGATATGTGACTAACCACAGTCAGAATATGGAAGAGAGGCATGGAGTAGGTGAGGTGGAGATGAGTGAGGAATCTGCAGGTGATAAATACAAAGAGAGGAGGTGAGGCTGGCTGCAGGTGACAGTTTATTGGTATCTTAGAATGAGAAGACAAAAGTGAAAGAAGAAGGAAATAAAAGGGTACGGGGAAAAATAGGAGTGAGGCAACCAACTAAATCCATTAAAACCTGAATGTATATGATAAGATTCTAAGACCCTGGGGTTGGGGTTAAATAATGAAGCATAAAATGTGATGGAAGAAAAGAATATCCAAGAAAGCAACATCCATAGTGAAGAAGGCTGGCATATGATCTAAAGTATGGGAATTGCAGCAATTCTTCTGGAGGAAACCCCAAAGAAAACAGCTGATGACAATACAGAAAATAAAGACAGAGCAATTTGGTTACCTGAGAGGCCTATGTTATTTATTTTCAAGCAGTTTCTAAAATTTAAACCTTCAAGAAGGCAGCAGACACCAACCTCTCTGGGGGGAAAAAAGTATTTCCATGTCTCCTTTCTGCCTGGATCACACTCACTGACCTGAACAACTCTGATGTGGGGTTTCTCCCTCCAATATCCATGGCTCCTCTCCTTGCTCCAACTTGAAGATGACCTCTGGTTTGGGAACTTCATACCCTGTTAATAAGACATAATAGAGAACTGGGTCCAGCTAATTCTTTTCCATTTGTTCATTAGAAAAGAAAACACATTTGACTGGGGAAACACTAATAATCACAGAGGTGAAAGGGACTGAAGAATCTCAGACCAATCAGGGATTATATCAGCATGCACTTAAGATATCCCAGAGCATTCAGCAGCTGGGAATGGAAATGGTTCTGTCTTAGTTTCCTTGGGCTGCTTTAACAAAGTACCAATAACTGGCTGACTTAAAACCACAGAAATTTACTGTCTCCTACTTCTTTAGGCTAGAATTCTGAAATCAAGGTGTTAGCAGGGTCATGTTCTCTCTGGATGATAGGAGGGAGAATCCTTCCTTGCATCTTCTAGCTTCTGGTGTTTGCTGGCAATCTTTGGCATTCCTTAGGTTATAAATGCATCACTCTATTGTGTTTTCTCATCATCTTCCCTCTATGAGTATCGATTTCTGGGCTCTTTTTTTTTTATAAGGATGCCAGCTATATTAGATTAGGGCCCACCCTCATGACCTCATTTTAACTGATTACCTCTATAAAGATCCTATTCCCAAATACGGTCATATTCTGAGGTATTAGGGGTTAAGACTTCCACATATCTTTTTTGTGGGGGGACACAATTCAATCCATCAGAGCTTGCCCTCTGAACCCCCCAAATTAATATTCTTCCCATGTTGAAAATACACTAATTCCATCCCAATGTCCCCTAAAGTCTTAATCATTCTAGCATCAACTCTTAAGTCTAAAATCATAAACTCAGAGTCTCAGATATCATCATCTAAATCACCCAAATCAGTTATGGGTGACACTTGACTATGAGTCCAAAATCCAAGTGTCAACAGGGCTATCCATGCTCCTTTTGAAGGTGTTAGGGAAGGAGCTGTCTCATGCCTCTCTCCTGGTTTCTGGTGGTCTTGGCATTTCTCGGCTTATAGATGCATCACTCCAGTCACATGGCCATCTTTTCCTTGTGTGTCCTCACATTGTCTTCTCTCTCTGTGTGTGTCTGTCTCTGTGTTTAAATTTCCCTTTTTTTAAAAAAAATATATATTTTATTGATTTTTCACAGAGAGGAAGGGAGAGAGATAGAGTTAGAAACATCGATGAGAGAGAAGCATCGATCAGCTGCCTCCTGCACATCCCCCACCGGGGATGTGCCCGCAACCCAGGTACATGCCCTTCACCGGAATCGAACCCGGGACCTCTCAGTCCACAGGCCGACGCTCTATCCACTGAGCCAAACCGGTTTCGGCTAAATTTCCCTTTTTTATAAGGATACCAGTCACAGTGGATTGGGACCCACCCTAATAAACTCATTTTAGCTTGATTACTTCGGTAAAGACCCTCTTTCTGCCCTAGCTGGTTTGGCTCAATGGATAGAGCGTCAGCCTGCAGACTGAGGGGTCCCGGGTTCAATTCCAGCCAAGGGCACATGCCTGGGTTGCGGGCTTGATCCCCAGTGGGGGGCGTGCAGGAGGCAGCCAATCAATAATTCTCTCTCATCATTGATGTTTCTCTCTCCCCGTCTCCTTTCCTTTCAAAAATCAATAAAATATATATATATATATATATATTTTTAAAAGACCCTCTTTCCAAATTAGGTCACATTCTGAGGTACTGAGGGTTAGGACTTCAACGTATTTTATTTGGGGGATATAATTTTACCCACAATTGTCTCCTCACTGGTTTCATGGGGTATCAGTGCTTACCCACTGAGAGCAGGTGGCTGTAGTTCTCCAGCATCACCTCCTGGTACAGGCGTCTCTGAGTAGAGTTCAATTGCTGCCACTCCTCCCTGCTGAAGTCCACAGTCACATCCTCAAGTGACACTGAGACCTGTAACAACACAAGCTTGTTCAAGGTCAGCACTGGGGGATAGGGAAAAGATAGAAAATAAGTTTCAATGCCTATTAAATACCTAGTTATATAGAATGTTATGTAAACTACAAACATCAAATCCTAAATTTCTGCTATTCATTGTGTACAATAAAAAGATTACTTTTGTACAAAATTTGACCTTGATCCTATTTTGTTGCTCATTTTAATAGGAAATTTTAAACTTTTACAAAGAAGCATGTATATACTTTTAAAAAACTTTACATAGTTCCCTCTACTGTTGCTTTCATTTACTTTAAAAAATATGGCCATTTTCTTCTGATGCTTTTTTATTGCTCATTTTTAATTTAATTTCATAGTGGTCAGGAAATATATTCTGTATGATTTCAACACATGGTCTATCTAGGAGAATGTGTTACATGCCCCTGGAAAAGAATGCATATTTATCTGTTAGTGGGTAAAAACTGACAAGGAGATGTTAAAGTTTATATGATTATGCAAAGGACATAGAATAGCCAAAGCAAGAAGTAGTATGGAGTATTTATGCTGTGTAATGTTAAGATTTCCTATAAAGCTACAATAATTCAGACAAGGTGGTACTGATGTAAATACAGTTAGATAAATCAATGGAATGTAATAGAGAGTCCAAAAACAGGTCTGCACATATATTGATGATTGCTTTTTTACAAAGATGCCAATGTGATTTAATGGGGAAAAGGAGAGTCTTTTTATAAAATGTGCTGGAATAAATGGTTATCAGTATTGAAGAAAAAAAACTTTGACCCATACTTCACACCACATATAAAATTAATTCCAAAATTAAAGGAAATTAAATTCCTATATGAATAAATTGCTTTTATTAGGCCAAAAGTCATATAGATAACAACTATAAGCTCTGAACAAAATATAAAAAACCATGATCTGAAGATACTGAAGAGCAACCTAAGTTATGCATCTACTGGAAGAGAGTTAATGCAAGAAGGGATGACACGGGATGTGTTTACTATTTTTACAGCTTTTAGTTTGTAAATAGGCCCAGTCAGTCATGCAAGGTAACTAAAATTCCAATTTTTAAAACCTTCACTCTTATTGACTTAAAAAATCAAAGGAGTGTTTTGCAATCATAACGACCACTGGAAAGTCAGGGGGGAATCCAGACGGAGAGGAGTGCCTAAATTCTGTATAAGAACTCTGCCCAAATATCTGCTTAACCACTTAAATGAACTAAAATCTGAGCTATCACACACTACAGAGAAGATAGTTTCCACTTTGAGTCCAGCCACAAGTCAAATGTTTACTAAACTAAACAAAACAAAAAAGCAGCAATCTTTAAGGGAACTAAATAGAATAAAAAATTTCAACAATACATGATTTACAACAACCAAAATACAATCCAAAATAACATAGAGAGAGAAAGGTATCAAGAGAAAGAGAAGAGATTCAAGAGTAAAAGCAGAGACTGACCCTGAGATGATCCAAATGCCAGAATTAGACTTTAAACTAGTTGTGTATAAATATGCTCAAGAACATAAGGACAACTATGTTCATAATAAATAATAGGATAGTTCAACTGAGGAATGGGAACTATAAAAAAGTAACTAACTGAAAAGTCTAGAACTGAAAAATGCAATCCGAAACTTAAAAAATTCCCTGGATGGACTTACCAACAGAATGTAGATAACATAACAAAAGAAAGAGTTAATGAATGTAAGACAGACCAATAGAAGTTAACCAATCTGGAAAGTAGAGAGAAAATTCTTGGAAAAAGTAAACAAAATAATAGAGTCTTAGGGATGGGTAATACAAAATCAAAAGATCTAATATACATGTAATTTGAGGTCCAGAAGAAAGGGGGCAGAAAAGATGTTTTTAAAAATAATGAGCAGCATCAGCAGATGAGTGGATTAAAAAACTGTGGTACAGCTACACAATGGAATACTATGCTGCTATAAAAAAGAAGGAACTTTTACCACTTGCAACAATATGGATGGAACTGGAGAGCATTGTGCTAAGCGAAATAAGCCAGTCGGAGAAAGATAAATATCACATTATCTCACTCATATGTGGGATATAATGATCAACATAATTTGATGAACAAGAATAGATCGATCTAGAGATAAATGGTAGGGGAAGAAGGGTTAGAGAGCAACCAAAGGACTTGTATGCATGCATATTAGCATAACCAATGGACACAGACACTAGGGCAGTTGGGGCTTGCCCGGGGTGGGAATGGCTGGGGGGGTCAATTGGGAGAAAAGGAGACATATGTAAAACTTTAGACAATAAAAATAAATAAATAAATAAATAAATAAAATGGGCAGAAACTTCCCAAATTTGGCAAAAGACATACATTTACAGATTCAAGAAATCTGGCAAACCCCAAGCAGAATAAATCCACAGAAAACCATGCCTAGGCACATTGTAGTCAAACTTTTAAAAACCAAAGAATAAAAGATTTTGAAAGCAGCCAGAAAACAAAACAAAATGACATATTATATACATGGAAACAGTGATTTAAATGATACTTTTTAAATGCTAATGAAAATAAGTGTTATCTGGCTGGGCAAAGTTAGCAGTTCCATAATTAGGTCTCAAGGCCTAAAAATAACTCTTCATGGCTTTTGGTTCTGCTCTCTTGGTTCTTGTTCCCACTTTCTAAGTCATACTTCCTTTTACATGAAAGGTCAGCAGAAGAGTTTTCTCAGCCTGCTTCCTGCCAGTAGAATTTTGGGAATCCAACGTCTTCCTTTCATTTTGTGTAGTCTCTATCCCTTTCAATCTAAGGTGAGCGTTTCTGCTGATACAGTTTGCTCTAATATTTTATGGTTTGTCTATGAATCTCATTGGGTTTACTCCATTAGACAAAAGCTTCAGCCATAAATCTCTTTGAGATGAGCCATTCTCTACCTTGGACTCCTGCTGAAAGGAATGATGGACAACACTCAAGCTTTCAAGAAGCCCTCTTGTATGATTGAAAAGATCTGTAAGTTACCCCCTTCACCTGTGCAAAGAGTTTTGATGGCTGAATGCTCTGAGCCCTCACTGCTCAGATTACTGCCATTGCTTTCTGGATCCATCATCACATTGGACATGGCAACACATGTATCCTCACAGACTGGGCACAAATGAAAACACTGCTTTTCTGATGCAGAAGCTACCACGATATACCAAATCTGTGACTCCTTCCACAAGATGACCCGTTGTGATGAGAAAGTGCACACAGCATGAAGTGTGGCCCACCTGCTCCTGGCCAACTGACTACATCACACTTCAAGCCCCTCTCCGATTTGCATCATAGTTTATATGTTTTCAGGTTAAAATATTGCTGTTTCAGTCTGCTCAGCCCACTCCACCCACACAACTGTGGATCTTGGAACTAACCTGTATCAAGTTTTCAGCTTTCTGGACTATTTGTAGCCTAAAAATGGAACACCTTTCATTGCACAAGCCATGTAACAATGGGCTGATAGTTAAGGTATTTGATGGACTTCCACACTCTCTCCCATCCACTGGCATGTGGTATTGTGGAGCATTGGAATGGCCTCCTCTAAAAGGAACTCAAAAGGATTTCAGACTCTGCCTCTCTCACCCTCTTCTGCTCCATACATGCTCTTTAGTAAGGCAGTTTAATTCACGAATATGGTTGCCCCCAGAAAGGAATCATCTCGTTTCAGCTGCTCCCTGGGTAATGATCAGAACAAAAGGTGTTAGGAGTTATATGGACATATTTTAATAACTTGGGATCCTGTCTCGTTGCTAACCCTCTGGGAGGTAAAGCATCCAGAAAGAAGGGTGCCTAAGAGATTTCAGTTTAATTCTGGTTGTCACCTGGATTCTCTGGTTGGATTAACATTGTCCTAGAATAATGTGGTCGGCAAACTCATTAGTCAACAGAGCCAAATATCAACAGTACAACGATTGAAATTTCTTTTGAGAGCCAAATTTTTTAAACTTAAACTATATAGGTAGGTACATTGTTATTAACTTAATTAGGGTACTCCTAAGGCTTAGGAAGAGCCACACGCAAGGGGCCAAAGAGCCGCATGTGGCTCTCGAGCCGCAGTTTGCCGACCACGGTCCTAGATCATAAAGATAATTGCTTCTTGGTTCAGTACACTTGCTTACTGTGTTCCCCTTTAATGACCCACATGGGCCAAAGGGTAGAACATAACAGATCTCTGTAAGCTTATTAAAATGGCGTTGTTCCTCTTTCATCTGACTCATTGAAATGAAAGGTCTGGAAACTAGTAGGAGATGATTGGGGTGGGGGTGAATTTAATACTTACTAGAATGAACCCTAATGATTTTGTGTCAGCAGAGGGTGAGCAACAACACCGAAATTGAAGAAGAAACACCTTAAACCCCAGGAGGTACAGGAAAGGGAGGGGCATTAATAAGCTGTCTTTCTGAACTACTTGTGGAGCCTTCATCACAAAGGAAAATGCCTTAGTACATCTTCCCCAAACTGCCGCAAGGGCGTAAAATTTACCTGTCAGGTCTGCCAATACCTGCATCCACAAGGTTATCACCATTCCCCTTAAGCTTGCTGAGAAGTCTATCAGAAACAGCTGGGAGGGCCCCAGCTCCTGCACCACACACAAAACACCCGTCCACTCTTTCAAATGTCTGCTCTCCTTGAGCCACTTGCCCTAGCAGCTGCTCAGTCATTATGTGGGGCAGAAGAATATCATGCAGCTAGTGACTTGGACATATAGGACAGGTTGGAATGAAGGCCTTCAGGCAGTCTCTCCAATAACAAGAACTAGACTCAAATTTTCAAACAGAACTGAGGACCCTTAATGTTGAACATAACCTGAGCCCAGTTAAGAAATCCCCCCACTCTTTTATGCTCTTAGAACCTACTTACCACAAATATCACCTTTCCCCTTATGGCTCAGATAACATTTGCTGTCCACTCTTTCTCATAACCCCCATAAGACTCCTGGGGCTTACGTATGACAAGGCCAAACGGAGACCTTTCTCCTTTTATTGAACTTGCT